TTCTAACACTCCTCACATAGGAAATGAATGATACATTCCAATGACCCATTCTCTCCTATAAACATATACGAGTAGAACCTCACAACTCTACAAACTGGTTTTGCCCGAGGTAGTTTAGAATCGGTTTCAAAGTTGTGTTGTACTTCACAAAATACAATAACAATCTAGTTCACCTGAGACTCTTGTTACTGAGGCCTTCACACTGAGTTCTTATTAACTCTGTTATTTCCATACTATCCCCATACTCAGGGATAAAGTGAAAAGGTTTAGTTTTTCTGGGCTACTTTTGAGCTTATATAAAGAAAATTAGTTTTTGGAGCTCGTACACAATTATGGGAATGCATTGTCAAATAATCAATCTTTGCATTAGACAAAGATCCAGGATCACTCAAAAAAAATCCAAAAGGTTTTCTTACCAACCCCGTTCTCCCCAACGGAGGTAATTAAATTCGTCAGTAATGAACTATTGGAGGTTAATTCAATTATAATAATAAAATGGAGCAAAGCTATTTATGTTCGTGTAAAATTTACTAAATTCAAGAACTCTGTCGTTTCGTAACGCGACTTTGACGAACTTTGTCAAAAGTTTCATAAATGATTCTTATAGCTAAGAAAATTAAGAATAACTTCATCGACTGAATCTTTCAAAAAGAAAACCGCGTGAGTCTGAGGCACGCAACAGATAAAAGCACCGAAAGAACTTCTCACAAGCGCGCAATCTTTGTGCATTTTAGATCAAACAATCCGCCAGAGAAAAGTAATAATCAGAACGATAAAAAATGCTACAAAATATATGAATTTCCTCGGCAAACTCGAGCGGACTTTCCATTTAATCATTGCGGCTCGAATTTTCTACCAAGTGTCTTGTGCGTTTCACTAAGATGGCATGAAAATATTGACGAAGACCTTAATGACTGTTTGAAAGAGTCGATCGAATCTGCTAAGGAAGGGCCTTCATCTTTTATTCGGCCCCATTAGTGGAATCTCCCGGTACCTGGGGGTCTTTGCGGCCTACCACTTCGTCCTCCACTGCCGGCGTCACACTCTGCTCCCGCTCCGTCCCCGCTCCGCCCCCGCTCCGCCCCCGCTCCACCTCCCGCGCCTCTGCCTTCCCTCCGCTTTCGCCCCTCTCTTGCTTCTGCTGTCTCTGCGCCTCGTTCCCGCCGCATTGTTTCACAAATACTTGCGACAAATTAATAATAATACCTTAGTTACTTATTCACGAAGATTTCAAGAAGACATACCTCGAAAAAAAATTAATGCCTAGGATTCTAGCATGGAAATCTACAAGAGCAAATTTTGACTTTAAAGTAGAATGCTCCATGTAGCGAAAACCTCTATAGCAAACGGGGAGTTTAATCTGTCCCAATAGGAAGCCCCGAGTATTTTATTGCAACAACATACATTGAGATGTTGAACCGCATTAGAACAGGTCATTTGAGACAGAAATGTATAATGAATGCACGGACTGTAGATTCAGATTCTTTCTGAAAATGTGAAGACATCAGAACAGTACGTAATATACATACACTATGTGATCAAAACTATCCGGACACGTCCAAAATGATGATATGGTGTGGTCGTATTTTTCATGGAGGGGGCTTGCATCCTTTGTTTTGTGTAGCACTATCACGGCACAGGCCACCGTTGATGTTCTAAACACCTTCTTGCTTCCCACTGTTGAAGAGCTATTCGGGGATGGCGATTGCATCTTCAACACGATCGAGTGCCTGTTCATACTGCACGGCCTGTGACGGAGTGTTTACACGACATTAACATTCCTGTAAAAGACTGGCCTGCACAGACCATTGCAGTCCTTACTTGAGTCCTTACTTGAATCCTATACAACACCTTTGGGATGTTTTGGAACGCCGACTTCGTGCCAGGCCTCACCGACCTACATCGATACCTGTCCTCAGTGCAGCACTATGTAGACAATGGGCCATTCCCCAAGGAACCTTCCAGGTTCTGATTAAAAGCATGCCTGCGAGAGTGGAAGCTATCAACGAGGCTATGGGTAGGCCAATACTCTAATGAATTCCAACATTATCGATGGAGGGTGCCACGAATTGGTTCGTCATTTTCAGCCACGCGTTCGGATACTTTTGATCCGTTTGCGGATCATTTGTAGTATTCAGGATTATATACAGTCACTATCATGGCAATGATTTTCCCAGAGAGATGATTAATTTATGACTCATTGCGTACCTTTATGGCATTTCTGAATACATTGTGTTTTGTAGCTTTGTTTTTGAAAGCTATTGAAATAAAAGTGAATTTTTTATAAAACTGTATTTCGCTTGTAATTTGTGGTTTCTAATTTGTGTCTCGTCCACAAATGAAGAGTGGAATTCTTAAAGGCGTTCAGCACAAAAGGTGCAACTTTCTGCATAAAGCTAAAATGTGTAGATTTGATCAATCTGCGCTCGTTTCCTTTGAGGCCTGAATCTTTTTCCCACCGTTTAACCATAAATAGTTGAATGATGAATAAAAGTACTAACAAAGCGAGGTTAGTAACGTTTGAAAATAAACATTTTTTCTCCCGAATTTTAGAAAACATATTTGTATCTGTAAACGAACTGTAAATTTGCGTTTTAAGTGTTTCTAACGAAATAGTAACCCATACCTTCGGCTCTACTCGTACCATAATTAACAAAAGGAAATATTGTCAACAAAAAAACTGTCACAAAAAAACTCAATAAAAAATTGTCTTAGGGAAGCTATACATTTATGCCTAGAAAAAAAACAAGGGGCTATCTTAGCATTTGCATGTATCAGGGAAACTGGACAAAAACCTGATCGATGTGCGGGTCATTCATTTGTTAAAAAGATGAAATACATTACTTGTATATTAATTATTTCTTTAAATTATATAATAAAAATGTAAACTATTCAATTTTATATCATTGTTGAATTTTTTCCTTTTGATGGTCTGTATAACTTTTAATTGTATAGAAACAGTTATGTAGCAGAAAATATTTAACTTTTGACTTAAATTTTGTAGACCGACTTGAATTGTTAAATATCATCTGGCAATGTGTTGTAAAGTAATGTATATACGTTTGTGTGGATTTCGTATATGATCATTTGATACTGCCACCTGACGAATGTGATTTCTACGACGGGTGTTGTAATGATAAATATCAGTATTGCATGAAAATAAGTTATGTTAAGTAAATTAGTTATGCTTAAAACTTCACATTCGTAAATAAATAGACAAGGTAACAGGGATTCCAAGCTCAGCGAAGAGAGGCTTGCAGAAATCACGTAGATGGCAGTTTATTAATTTTTATTTATCAGGATGAGTGTCTCCTTGATATTAAGCCATATATCAGGCAGGGATATACACTTGCAAAATAGTATACGTAACGAGCTGCGTGAAGGAGGGCAGAATTTGAAAGAATTTTGAATGCGTAACATAACGAATTTAATTTAGTGTTGAATTCAGTCATATGGTTATTCCAGTTGAGGTTTCACTGAATTGAGAGACCTAGGCATTTTGTCAACTTAATATCAGCCAATTCCAAATTTTTCATTTTCAGTGATTGAAATGAATGAAGTGATGTTAATTGAAACGAGTTTTCCTTCGTTAACTATTAATGTTTTGCAAAATCAATTTGAAAATTCTGAAGTATTATTTACTTTCTTTTGTGTAAATAATATTCTTGACATCAGCAAACAGAACTCCTCTTCAATTTAAAATGATCAAGGGCATATCATTTACCTATTAAAGAAAGATAGTACCTAATCCTACGGGACCCCATGCTTAATTAGCAAAGAATTGAAAAAAATGAGTAAATAATGTTCTTTCGTGCCAGTACAGAGTTTCTACTCTTTGCGATCGATGTTTTAATTTTAAATTTTCAGAGTATCTTGTATATGTGACAATGATATTATCATATATCTAGACCTTCAACACATGATGATGATGGTGATGATAATGATGATGATGAAAGTACTTGAACAATGATGCTTCCAAAATTTTAATTATTTTTTTAAATTGACAGTGATTGAGATACCACGGACACTTAATACCTACAAAAATTTCACCATTCTTCAAGAATACAGGCTAATTTGTTTTTCTATAAACATTCCATCAACGGATTCGTAACTAGACGATAAAGAAAATATTCTTTGGCTTTTTTGTTTTAGATGCACAGCACAGTTTAACAGAACAGTCGCGACACTCCTTCAATTTTGTTCATGCGCTGCCACAATAGCGCTCCAAGTGACCAGCAAGCAACTGGTAACTAAGCTTGTGTGGTCTTGTGAGAATTCTCTATGAAAATGCTTTCGACGTTTGGAAATGCATGCAGTGCAGTAAACTATAGCAACAAAACGAAAAAATGCCCGGATTTGTCTTCCTTCAGGTTCCCAAAAGATCAAGAGAGGTCATGAATATGCACATAAAATGAAGTGTGGAGAATCATTGGTGCAGCTACTGATGGAAATGTGAGATTTCTAGTTCAACGTTGTGAAAGGACAAAAATCGTAATTTTAAAAATATTTTTTAGACTGAAGCTTTATTTTATTTTCAAATTGCAATATAATGAAATGTCTGTAAGTAGACGCCTTAAATTATTAACATTCAGACACTTAGGGCGTTGACTGTAACATCTCTCTCTCTCTCTCTCTCTCTCTCTCTCTCTCTCTCTCTCTCTATATATATATATATATATATATATATATATAAACATCATTATTTTATTGATATTAAATTATCTAATACGAAACAAGCAACATGTCTCTATTTATTTCACCCTATTCATTTGAATCAGTTTCCAAGTAAATATTACGCTTTTCCCATTGTGCGCTCTAGTGTCTGAAGACAGTCTCATCACCGGTTGGAGTACTAGTCTCGCTCCGGCTGTCAAATGGATGCTTCTTCCGCACGTTATAGTATTGCGAGTGTTAAGTTACACTATGATGCACAGTTTCTTTAACAATTGCAGACCTTTCTGGACTGTGACTAGGCGAGGCTTCCTGCTGAGTACGGTTGCATGTCGCGTACCCTAGGAGCTCTGCGCCGACAGACACGAGTTCCGGAGGGTGCAGATGCATTACTGTTGTTTGTTACCTAAAAAATTGAATTAATCTATGGTGTTTTTTCATCATTTCAATAAAGGCAATTAAATTTATTTCTCGTGAAGCAGGGTGGGACATTATCCTAGCATATGCCGACTTTGTCAACAGCTCTCAATGAACAGTTATTTAAAAGGAAATTAACGCTCCTTCTCTAGCGTTTGCTATCAACATTCTGTGACTTTTTCGCCTCAATGCAATATCCAGAAGGCAGCAGTGAAGTCTCAGCAAGTTCACTCTATCGACCGAATATTCCTCTACCCTGGAACCTCCCCGTCCCCTGGTGTCCTCGGCGGCTGTCTTTCTATCTCCCCCCCCCTGTCCCGCTCCGCCCCCGCTACATTGTTTCCCAGAGGACGGCTGACT